CGACGGGCTGTATTTTGTGAATGGTTTTTAAACAACTACGGTGAACTTCATAATATCACCTTTTTTTCTGATGAAGTCTGGTTTCATTTAAGTGGTTACGTAAACTCACAGAATATGAGAATGTGGTCTTCTGAAAAACCAGATAACTTTTTTGTCGAGGGCCCTCTACACGCTCAAAAAATTGGAGTTTGGTTTGCTTTCAATCGAAGGAGGATTTATGGACTTATTATTTTTAATGGTACTCTTACTGCGCAAAGGTATATAGAAGAAATTATCGCTCCTTTTGTTAACCAGCTGGAAGAAAACGAAATTACAAACTTTTATTTTCAACAAGATGGCGCAAGGGCACATACGGCAGGCGAGACGATGAATATGTTGAGGGAAGTTTTCCAAAATCAACTAATAAGTCTCAATGCTGAACATGAATTTCCACCGAGGTCATGTGATATTACGCCGTGTGATTTCTTTTTGTGGCCTTACCTTAAAAACACTATTTTTGAACTGCCTATTCCTGATTTAAACCATCTGCAGGCTCGACTTATAGACAAGACTCGTGAAATTAACAATACCCCGAGCATCTTAGAAAATGTCTTTAATTCTTTGAGGAACAGGTGTGAAAAGTGCTTGGAACAAGGAGGGGGACACTTTCAACAGCTGCTTTAATTTATTGTTATAACAAGGAGGGGGACACTTTCCGCAGCTCATTTAATTGTTTGTTATTGTTATCACGATTATTCTTTAAAATAAAGTTATATAGTCATTAACGTTATTGAAACTGACAGCTGATGCTATACAGCTCGTTGAGAAATGAGGTTAAGTTGGTCGCTATAAGCTACTCCCTACGTCCAATGTGTCAGAGCCAACTTCGACCACGTTTTTATTTGAACGCTCGTTACAATGCGGAACATCGCCTAACTTTTAAAAATGTTCTCACCACCATTCTTGATGGTGAAAATTCGAAATATTTGAAATTATTCAATTTTCGTGTCTGAAAACATATACAGTGTGATTCATTAATAATGGGAAAATCGAAAGCTGAAGATACTACACGTGAAATGGTGACGAAACATGCCTTAACCGAAAGTTGATAGTTTCGGAAATACAGAGTGTTTAAAATTTTAAATCGTTTTTTTTGCGATTATTCTGAAAATATGTAGGTTAGGAACTTGAAAATTTGTGAAACTATATTTTTTTAAGCGACGAATGAGACGCGTGTTGCAATTTCAGCGTTGCTCATAGAGGGCGCCACTTACGACCAATTTTACCGAAAATTTAGTTAATAACTTTTTACCCTGTATGTCTAATATGAAATAATTTTTCCATTAATTATGTATTCTTGATTGATTTCGGTATCTCGATCCGTTTTCGAGAAAAATCGATTTAACGAACACTATTTTTTGATAATAAGAAATATTAAAAGTGAAACAAGCAAAGTGTTTCTTCATGTTATTACAACAATTAACAGTAAAACAAATGAAATACCTACGTAATAATGATTTAAAATAATTGTTCGAAGAATCCACCGTTCAGAGATGCAGTAAACAAATTTGGACAGGACAGCTAATATATTGCAAAACATCGCCTTACTGTTAGAACTGTTGTCACCGTCGTATCACTGTTTAAGCAACCAACTAGAGATAGTAACACTGTTCATTGATCGTGACTTTGTAGGATCGTACCATCCAGAATAATAATAAACCAGGTCGCTATAATATTTCTGAAGAACTGTATTCGGAATATCTTTCAACTTCCACCGAAAAAATTAAGCAAAAAGAGTACAGGCGAGCAAAGTTTGAAAGAAGAAAGCCAGATTCTAAAGTAACAAATAAACGGTTTCATTCTTATATAATCCCGTAGAAGAGGGATATTCGCTGTTGCAATTATCGTTACATATTTCTTCTAAATGCGCGAAAGTGTAGAAAATGTTAATTTCTGAGCATGATACTAGGAAGTGTAGGAAACTAAAGGCCTCCGAGGCCCTATTGGACCTTTATACTCCACAAAAATTCAAGAGTGTTATTACATAAACTATTCACCAAATGACCAAGCTGTGGAAGATCATAACGTAAGCCAAAAGAATACCTCCTCTCTTCATGTTCTCTTGGAGACATACAATGGCATGTACTTCACTTGGTTGTGTTGCTTTCCAGCTTGGGAAACTTTCAGAGGCAGAGGATTGGAGAAAAATTACATAATTTGGTAGGCACGTATTAGTTGAGAAACCGATAACTTTCAGATTTCGGTTTTGTCATTTTCCTTTTCCATTTGGAAAGCTTCCGATGAAAAGGTGAACAATCAGTCGAGTATTTAAAGAGTTATATACTCTATACGCTTATATACTAGAGATGTGTGAAATCATATGGTAATGATATAAGTATTGTAACATCTGTGATATATAAAAATGTATGCGTTATGTCATAACATTCTCAAATACAATAGGCGTAAGAACCAGTCCATTCACTGCACATTAGTTGACCCATGTGTCTTCCAAATTTAAAATGGAAATTAAGCCGATACCGATAATACATACCGTAAAACGACTGCTAATGAACTGGGATTCGTTGCCAAACACTTAATAGTGTACTGACACAGTTACACAAACATTGTTGTCTATAAGAAATTCTAGAAAGTTTCGGTTAATATTATGGAAAACGCAAATCAAGTAAAAATCACATTTGCTGTAATATTGTATATTTCTCAGAAACGAAAATATACAAAATGGCAGCAAAAAACAATTGGGAGATTATACCTGAAATCAATAATTTGGATCATACTTTTTTAACATACTGGTTTTATATTCCGAAAAATGCATTCCATGTTTTCAATAAACAAAATAAGTTGCTAAAGTTTCATGTTAAACGAATAAAAACTATTTTTATCAAAATATAGAAATAACATACTTTTCTAAATATCTATCATTCCTAGCAAATGAATTGTAGAATGACCAATAAGAAAACTACAAAAAAAATATATTTGTCAATGTTGTGAATGCTGAAAGAACTAGATTTTTAAAACAATGCTTAGTTTAAATGTATTGTAGATTTACAACTAGTGTCATCTGACGGACAGTAGTTACACAAGGTTTACGTATGAGAACTAGGATAAACTGAGAGTATTCTTTAAATGGTGCAACGGCATGACATATTTAGTAGTAAGAACCTATTCATAAATGACGCTGTCCATAATGAGTGTAAATGGGCAAGGCGTTAATTCTTAAAAAAAATATAAACATATTTAACTGATTTAATTTTCTTTAATTTCAATTATGGTTGGCAAAGAAAACAACTAACTAAAAAATAAAAAACATACACATACAGGAACGAACAAATGAATTTATATTTTCTAACTTACAATATCATTCAAATCCAATAAAAACTTTAGTTAAATAATAGAAACAAGACAATGTCTACAATTGGCTTTTATAGAGTTAATGTACATTATTACAAAAAGTAAAGGAGCCTACATAAAAAATTTCAAACAAAATTTGCAAGCAAAGCAAAGATAGTAAATAATAAAATGACGAATAAATAAATACATCTTTATTCATTTTCCCGTTGTAGTTTTTAATTCCCACCATTTCCACCTTCCAATTTTTAAAGTAGTGTACGCTCTCTTACGTTCGCACATCTCACCAGCCAGATGAATTTAGTTGCAGTGTAATTAATTTATACTTTTATAAAGAGAAGCTACGGTTGACATATCATTTAATACAATATAGATGGATTTGGATATTTTTGAATCACAGATTTGAATAATTTCGAAACTTATTTTGTGTGACGGCATCTATGTGACATATACAAGACTAACAATTATATGGTGTATATATATTCATATATAAGGACAGTAGCTATTAAATAAAGATTTCCTGAGTTACACGATTTTCAAAACGTTTGGTTAATAAATTTTCTGTTAGATGCCGCTAGGAGTTATTTTTTAGATAAATTACATTAACAAAAATAGCCCATAATAAATAATTATTTTTAGGAAAAATTTAAATTCGACAAATTAAACAACTTGGGCTATAGCTTCATACTGTAATATATCTTAGTTTTCGTTAAACCACAGATTTACACAGTTCAAAGAGGGTAACAAAAAGATATATACCGGGTGTTCCTCGTATCTCGGCAAAGGAAAGAGATATTTTTATTCTGAAAAAAAAAGATGATAGAGCTCATCGAAGGCTTCTTCAAAGAGTGCAACTTGATTTTTTCAGAGCAAATTGGATATGGCACTGAGGTTTATCCGATACTTTGTTCAATTCTAAAGAATTTTTGTCAAATGACTATTTTTCAAAAAGTTAATAGTTTCAGAGATATCGGGTTCTTCAGTCGGTGAGGCCCAAACTCAAGCGTATTTTAGAATTTCGAACATTTGGTTAATAAATGGAACAAGTCACAATCCAAGTCAATTTAATAGTTTTTTTTTAAAGAAATAGTGAAATAAAAATATGTATTTCTGTGAAATATGGCAAAAGTTTTTTAAATACCGTATTCTTTTTGTATAATAATTCATAATTATTTGTACGCTTGTCCTAAAATACGAGTAAATCCTGAATGTATAACGAAACTTACTCACAGTAGGTTTTGATTACAATGAAACCAAAAATTTTGTTCAGTCAATCAGAAATACAAGTTGATAAAACAGCTAATTGTTGTTTAAGTGAAAACATGGTTCAATATACTAATCAAGAAAAATACGATATGTTTGTCATTTATGGTGAATGTAGAAAACTCCAGAGCTGCAGTAAGATTATATTCTAACCCTAACAGAAGGTGTCCAGATCAGAAAACATTTTTAAAGTTGAAGATAAATCTTATGCAGTATGGAGGTTTTAATGCCAATAAACACAAACGTTTAAATACGGTGACAAATGATCTAGCAACAGCGCAAGTTTTAAAACATGTGGAAAATAATCCTTAACACTTCAATTAGAAATATATCAGAGCCAACTAAACATATCAATTACCTTAAAACATAAAGGTTAAAATGAAACAGCTAGATCGAACAAAAACAATGTATTTATTACTATCATTACTATTAACATTTTATAAACTATCAAAATCGTGCTCTATAAAACTCGCACATCTAAATTGTATTTAATACTCAAGTCACATAATAGTTTTTTTACACATACATCCACACAGCGGAGTTTACTTTAAAGCCAAGTATTTCTACAAGTAGCTGAAGAAATTTAATTCCAATAAGTGTCTAGACACGCTTTTACTTTTTGACCACGCATACACAGCACGAAGGTATCTTGAAATAATCAAAAACGGTGTCATCGGATTCCTTTCCCACGATCATCAATTTCCTCACTGTGTATCTCTGGACGCATTTAGGTGTGAAGTTATTCGGGAAATTTTCCGCAAAGCTGCAAGGTCCTTCTCTGAAACAAAGAACACAGTGATTTCTAATGCTATCTGCAAAATAATAATACCAGCTCTGTTCAGAAAAACTTTTAACTGAATAAGGCGCTAACGAAGATATTTAGTGATGCGGTTGGCAGCATTTCATTGAGCATAACCTCCTCTATAACCATATGTTAGTTGCGATTGTTGAAATGTACTATATTCTGGAACGATGCAAAGTATAATTTTACGTGGAACTTTTGGAACAAGCTTACGGAGATGATGCTCTAGGTCGTACGCAATGATACGAATGGTTTTCACGATTTAAAAGTGGTGGTCAGTCAATTGAAGATGATCCTCGACCAGAAAGGCCTTTGACTTCTTTCAGAAAGTCAAAGATCTGGTGCGTGCTAATCGCCTATTAACTGTCAGAAATATTGCAGAATAGTTTAGCATCTTAATTGGGTCACGCCATGAAATTTTGACCGAAAAATTGAACATGCATCTAGTTGCAGCAAAATTTGGTTCTCGTTTGATGACCGAGCAACAGAAAGAAAATCGCATGGATGATCCAATGACGATGAAACGTTTATTCAAAGGATCATAATGGGAAATGAAAGCTGAGTTTATGGCTACGACATTGAAATGATTCCAATTATTATGAAATGCAAAGGATCTCCACGGCCCAAAAAAGCTCGTCAGTCTTGATTCAATGTCAAAGTGATGCTCACTGTTTTTTTCACTGTGTGCATTTTGAATTCTTGTCTCAAGGTGAAACAGTGAACCGTGTGTACAATCAAAGCATTTTACAAAGGTTATGTCCCCAATGAGAGACCAGAGTTATGGAGAGACAACTCATGGTTCTTGCACCATGACAATGCGCGCCCACACTCAGCTTTGTCAATTCTTCAGTTTTGTGCCTAAAATCAGATTACTTTTCTCTCTCACCTTCCTTACTCACCAGACCTAGCTCCATCTGATTTTTTCTTATTTACGAAACTAAAATCAGAGCTGAAAGGACACCGTTTACTTTGAAGGAAACAATGACCAATTATGTATAAGATTAATAATAAATTTAAAAAAAATAAAGTTCGGTTATTTTCTGAACAGGCCTCGTATACCACTCTCTACTGAAGTAACTGATTAAATTGATTAAAATATCTTTAAATTCGGTTTTCATATTTGGTTTTGCCTTGTGTTAATTCAACAGGCTACGAAAATATAATTATGATAAGTAAATAGTAGTAATCCTTGGAAAACGAAAAACAAAGGAATCGACGATATAATTTCAATTTAGTTGCGAGATGAGCAGGCGAAAAACAAAGAATATGTATTAAGTAATATGGAAATTCACTTTTTAAAAAATCCCAATTTCACATGTCAAATTAATATACAGAACGTTTGTTTGAAGATGAATTTTGTAAGGATTGATGTCAAATTTGACATCCAGAGGTAAAAGGAGTGATATAATTGGCTAGACATTTGCATTTTTACAGATATAGGTTAGGTTAAACATTTTGAAAACCAGTACTGACAAGGGTAAAAGCATTTTTAACGAAATACAAGAAACGTTTTAAACAATACAGAATAGTGTCGACAGCAAAACATTTTAAACTAATTTATTAACAAATTATTACAATTGAGATTGTATAAATAAGTTATTAGCAGAAATTTTATACTAATATAAAAAATATACTACAGTTGTACGTTGCATACGCTTCTAATGTTTTTGTTAATTTCATAACAAAATAAATTTCGGTTTTTATCTATTGACTAATTTATTAATGGCGGTTAATTGCGAGGAAAGTAATTTAAAACTACTTAGAAACAGAAATCAATTGGATTAAACTCTGGGGATTGCGACAGCCACTAAATAGGAATCTCGTCCGGTTCAGAGACATGGAAGTAAAAAAGTTTTTAAGAATTTAAGTTGCTGACCGTAGTTTCAACTAAACTGTGCTCCACCTAATTATTATCTTCAAATCGCTGGATTGGACGACGTCAAACTGCTTCTGTTCAATAGCCACCACGGTATCCAGATTTAAATCCAATGGATTTATTTTTTCTAAAGTATTATTTAAGCTGAAGAAATTAATAATACTGAACATCTTAGAGACATAATACCCATGGTGGGTAAAAATTTTTCCCGTTTTTCGAAGTGCACAAATCCCATAACGTCTTTATTATCAAATTTTATGTTAATTTCTCTAAAATCATAGAGGTTATTAAAAAAACCATTTCCAAAGTACATTTGTTATCAAATGAAAGCAGCTTATGTTAATCTGTTGTACTTACTCTTTGCACGTCTCGAATTCGATGCCCTGTTTATACTGGTCCACGTTGACGATCACCTGCTCCTTATCCTGTATATTTTTGGCGGTCTTTGGGAAGCGAGTGTGAGTCACGGTGGCGCACAGGTTGTCACCTTCTTCTGTTTCAGCAAACCGATTCTCGAACTTAACTGTTGAAAAAAATTTTTTGAGCTCCGAATTGTTGAGAATTCGTTGGATTTTTTCCACGGGATAGTCGTCTACTTCATCGCACAGCCCGTAGAAACAGGATCTTGACTTTATTTGATTCATAGCGATTGACAGATTGTCAAAGTCTGGTGGATAAATCATTCCGTTTGCGAATTCTGGAAAGTAAAATACGCAGGTAAGTTTGGAAAATAAAATAGGCAGGTAAGTTTAGAAAATAAAATACACAGGTAAGTTTTGGAAAAATTGTAGTTTTTAAACACCGTTAAATAGTCTACACAAGGGGGGGGGGGGTGCTAAAATTACAGCACAATCTTTTACTAGAAAATAAAGAATAGTATCCGAGCCAGATCAATTGGTTCTTTAATTTCTACAAAATCTACACCTCTACACACACAAGAGACCAACACATATATATACACTTAATTAGCTTATGGAAACACTTATTAACTTAAATAAAAAATTATTAAAAAATTTAACAGTTCTCTAAGGCTACAATAGCCAAGATCAATATGCAAATACGATTATAATTACTCACATTGCGTATATTGAGGACTTTTGGGAGTTATATTTGTTCTAGTTCTTTTACAATAAGAGAAATCATTTAATTGGAAACTAGGTCGTAGTGCTCAACTATTACACATACTTAACAAAGCAAGAAAGTCAACGATGCCAAAAATAATTTATGTATAAATGACAATCTGCCAAGTATTCTGATCGATCGAATATTAAATATTTGCTATTGTAATCACATTCATATATGGATAATAATAACTAACAGGATAAGATACGTGTTTTAAGGAACTGACGAGACTTCTGACTATAAAACAGCTATATCCCTTGTTAGCTACCTGAGTATTATGGTCCGAGAAAAATGGTTTACTGTTAAACATGACACCGAGATCTTTCGCCACGCGGCATCATAGTAGAGGCGCCGAATTTAAAGAATATACAAAAAATTAAATGCAATTTTGGAGTGAGTGTAGATTTTGCATGTATTAATATTCAAAACGAGCATGTTAACTGTACCACTCCCTCACAACCTTCAGAAGCTCTTGAAGTCTAACACGATCATCAGTACTTAATATGTCACCATTCAATCTTAAGCCGTCAGTAAAGAAAAGATAACAAGAATTAAAAGATACAAAAAAAAATATATTAAATAATTCTAAAGTTAGAACCCTCAAAATTGTTGTAAGAAACGTCGATGAAAGTACACAACTTTCATAAATGAATGCAAGCCATATGACCACCGAACTTAGGCAACCCACCATTGCACGATTGGTACTGTTAAGTAAAAATCCCTAATACGGAAATTTAATGGCCATATTCAAGTTCTAGCAGTGTTATTTCAAAAGGTATAACAACTATAAGTATAAAATTAAAAAAAAGATATCTTTTGCCCCTCCTGAAAAAACTACATATTGTATCTCATCCCCTTATTCTTACCTTGAGATTTTCTTTTGTTCTTATTTTTGTCGGGATAACCGTTGTTTCCTGATGCATTATAATAAGCGTTCGTATTAGATGACGCTGATTCAATGAACTTCCCAACAGTTGTAGGTTCATGGATATTCGTGTGAGTCTGTCTTGGGCGTAGATTTCCAGAGCGCCCCTCATTTAACTGTCCGTTACTGTGATAATTGACGTTTTGTTGGCCACGAGGTTTTTGACTAGGTTCTTCGTAGTAATCTTCAAATGCCCAAATAGGACATGTCTGAAATTAATAAAAAAAAAAAATAATAATTTGGTAACCAATGGTGGAGATACTGTCCGACACGTTACAGAGAGCCCCCAAATTTCGACACCACTGAGTATTTTGTAAATTGAATAAGTACATGCAATTGTTAATACAGGGTGGTTCATTAATAATGAGACAGGGGTTAATAACAGGTTGCTGACTTCAGAATAGAACGATTAAGCCAAATATGCCTTATCACAATGTCGCTCATTTTCGATCTACAGGTTATGAAAATTTTTTTTTTCGATTTTTTAAATATCTTGAGAATCTTTAAACCGATTGTCCTGAATGTTGGTATGACTATGTTTTCAGAGGTCATAATTACGAAAATGATAATTATTTTGCTATCAGTTCTAGGGGGCGCTACTTGTAGTGTTCTGTCAGAGTAAAGATATATCAAACTTTTTTGTCCTTCAAAAATCTGTACTTCCAATAACAAATTATTAAACTACGTTTAATTCTAAATAAAAAAAGTTTACCTGTTAATAACACAGCCACACAAAAAAATACTATACTTATCATGCGACATAGTTATCCGTAGCATTTTTGCCTCCTGATCACGAATCCGGTGTCAGAATTTCCTAACCTCAAAAAACATGTCAAAAATAGCAAAAATTTAGGAAAAGGTGATAAGAAAAATACAAAATATTTTTTTTTCTATATTCAAATGTTCATTTATATGGTTAAGACCCGCCGAACATAAATCCTCGATCAGAATTGATGGTTCTTTTTCTAACCTCAAAAAAAACGGGTCAATTAAGGCCAGATATCACGAATTTTCGCGCCAAATACTACCATTTTTAATTCCCTTGATAAACATATACCTTCATCAAGGAATGTTTCGTACACGAGAGAGAGAGAGCAAATAAGAATTTCGCTTGATTTTACAAAATTTGGTAACTCCAAAAAAAGCTATTATAATTTTGAACACCACCAATTTTTTAAAAGTTCCTCATGGATTCCGTTGAAGTATCCGTAAAACAACGTGTATGGAACACTTTAGATTGTGTATACTATCGAGGAATTTGTAGCAGCCAATAAATTGTACATTTTGAGATAAATACAAACTAATTGACCTTTCTAAATCCATGTTAATTATGTTTCTTATTATGACTAACGATATAAATCTCTGATGTTTTTGTATATATTGGGAATAGGATAACTTCGTGTTATTAGCTGTCAATGACGTCCAAGATTATAATTGCAACTATAAATTAATAAAATTTACTTCCTTCTAGACAGGAACATGTAATGATTGGAATATTTTTTTTAATTTATATTATTCTACTAATAATCCTTTGAATTTCATCTTAAGAAACAAATGATAAATTTCTTTAAGTAAAATAGAATATTAATAAGGAGCAGGGTTACTATTTAGAACAAAAAAGTATAGTCGTTACGATATAGCAAAAATACTATATTTTTGTTCATAAATAATATACATAAAATTACTATCTTTTATAAATCTCGAAATAGAAAAAACGACATATTTTGGGACGCCATATACAGGGTCATATGTGGAAAGCAACACACAGGGTGTAACTATTTTAATTTTTTCGAAATCAAATTATTGTTTTATTTATTTTTTAAATTAGGTCCTTTAGTCCAACCAAATTACACTTGGAGAAAAAAAATGTTACCTAGACTTTTATAAGTGGAAATTGTAAAAGGGCTTATAATAAACCTAAAAAAAATTAATGCGTGAGGGTTGATTTGGGGGGTTGAAAAGTGAAAAATTGTATCATGGTGAAAGTTGACGTCAAACAAAAAAGTATCTAATACAAAAGTTGTACACCATGCAAAAATCTACAACTTTTGTAGAGGTGACTTTTTAAGATAACCTCAAAATTTCCCAGAAAAATGCGAAAACAGGTTTTTCTGTAATTTTTCGTTTTTATTTCTCATTTCCGCAAAAATAATTTAATTTTGATGAAACTTGGTGAAAGTATACCTTTCTGCGTCTTAAATAACTGCAATTTTTTTAGATAAAAAAATCAATACTTTTTGGTGAAATAAAACATCTGTAATTAAATTAAAAAAAAAATCAGAATTACACTGATTACACCATTCAATTCTACGGAAAATATTTTAAAAAATTATGTCTCATTTCTTGACCCAAAAGTTTATTTAAAATTAGCCCCTTTATCTACGTAATCCATCAAATATCTATTAAACTTTTTTTAACATATATTTATGCGCTAAATTAAAATCTATGAAAAATGAAGCGATATAGTAAAGAACCAAGAAAATTACTACAAAGTAAACATCTTCACTTACTAGTTAAACAAATATAGATATATTAGTTAAATTTAAATATCTACGACAATAATAATATTCAAATTGTGTTTTGTTTATAAAATTGTTCGTTAAATTTATTTTAAGTGTTCTGTTATTTCTGCAGAATAGGTTTTAAAAAAATTTAAATATTCAAAAGACCGTTGTTCCTACATTTGTAACCTCGAACAAGTTCCAGTGTACCACCCGGTATAGAATGTCACAAAAAAACTAAGGTGCGCCCGTAATTTACTCATAAAACGAGTTTTTCATTACAGTTTTGTGTGTGTGTTTTATACAAACATGGAAAATTAATATGGGTGCAAAAAATGATTTACCTTTAGGGTGCAATGAACTGATATTTTGAATAACACTAACCACTCAACCAATAAGAACCGTTTCCGAAATAAATTCGAATTATGTTTTCGCTGTCAATTATGTGTAACGGAAAAGGAACATTAAAATTTGTTTGTGATTTACCTACACGCTGTTTGCGACTTCAGTATTATATTTAAAAAAAAAACGATAAAACTTTATCAAAATACATTAAATATTACATTAATTTGATTAAAAACTAATTATACTGTAGTTTTCTCGGAAGTGCAGTTTATTTTATCCACAATATACATTGTTCGGTGTTTACATTTGTACATTTAGTAAAGTTATAAAACATAAATGTATTTAAATATAAAAATTACATGTTTTAAATTTTGAATGCACAATCATCAATTTTAAACTGAACAAATGATTCATTATGTATTTTATTAACAAACGTAAATAAGCAACAACAAATTATTCATATTTCCAAAATTAAATTGAGGATGGTGTTTTAAATTGAAACAAACAAGTAAACAAAAGTGTGATTTCTAAATTCACGTTGTGCGGTAATAATATTTACAAGTGCATCAAAATTCATAAAACGTTTTTATTCATCCTAATTAAGAGTTTTCTCGTTCTAAATATAACTCGGTATCTTACCGTTGCTGATAAAACCAGAAGTAGAACCAGAAGTCTATACATTTTCTTTGTAAGTTCACCAATACTAACTATGAACTAAACAGTTATTTTATATGGTTAAATATACCCCAGTTGAGGAGACATAATCGCACTTTGTTTGTTTTATTGTCTAGTGTGCTCGCCAAAACCTACTACTGCCACTGGGTAACTACACAGACTAAATAATACTTAACCGAGGTTCAACAAGGACAACGAGTTGAAGTCGGTAATAATAAAAGAGGAGAGGAAATTAGACGCATAATTGTTTATATTTAAATTTATTGCAGATTTACCCAGTTTAATTGAAATAGCGGTAACGTCGTATCCGACGACAATCGGAAGAAAAACCATAGTGTCATATGGGAAACGTAACCCACATATACAATTTTTTGCTAAACTTTCCAGGTTGTTTCGCCTAAAAATCGCTTACGAACTATCGAAATATCACACTTAAAGATTCCGTTTCATTCATGACAGCCACAAACTCATTTATTTAAAGAATGGAATGACGGTACTGACCATACCTATAATTTAATCGGTAGTAGTTCTACAAATATCTTCAATAAAAAATCACATGTACAGGGTGGTTGATTTTCGATAGTTTTATAGGGTACAGCCAAAACGGTGATAGATACAAAAAATCTGATATCGATGTCCCGTCCTCTTTTTTGAGTTTACTTCGCTGGTACCAAAAGATCTTGGCTAACTTGATTAGTTTTAGATATACAGGGTTTTTTTGAAAAATGGCCCATTTATATTAACCTCTCTATCTCCGTTGTCGTTCAATTTAGAAGAAAAATGTGTGGACATTATTTGTTCTATTTCCTATTAGGAAGCCAGTGGCGTACTCAGATATTTTACAAATCACACAGTTTTTCCGATATTACATAAACATAGGTTTTTTTAAATAGAACACCCTGTATTTGGCCATCCCGTTGAATAGCATTTTTTTACCTTTTCAGCCATATGTAATAATAGATACTTTTTATTTGCCTAAATGAAGAAAAATGTAAAAAATATATAGATATTTTTTCAGTTGGCCATGAGATTTATTTAGTATTGGTCTCTTCGTTTTCCATTATTATTTTTATATTAAACCTAACTTAGACTAAAAAATTACAAGAAAAAATAAATTGGATTATCCATTAATCTTTACTTAATAGGTTTAATTACAGGTACACTTATAACTATTAAACATAAACTAAACAAAAATAACAACTATAAAATGGAGAAACAACAATAAAACAAAAACGACATAACAAAGTGACAGCAAGTGCTCGAATTGTCGGCCATTTTCGTTGATACATAACTGACAACGTTTGACAATGGAGTGGGTCGCATTGTAAATGTGGATATTTGACACCCGCTGAATATAGTTTTCAAAGTGTTCCCTTAGCTCATCGACATTATTAGCTCTATACATATAAATTTACGTACGTACCGATCCAATTGTCCCCGAAATTATGATTTAATAATTCTCTATTTGGGAATTATGTGAAGGCGCACCATCATGCTGAAAGAACATGTGATATCGTTGAGCTAGTAGCATATCGTCCAGCAGTTCACTAATATTTTCTTGTAAAATTCTCACATATCTCTGAGTGTTAAGGTTTTCATCGTACATTCGTATGCTAACACTCTATTGTGGAAGAGATCTACCCATACATGAAAACCAAACCGCCCTTGTTGAATTTTGGCCACAGTTTGGTGAGGATTCACATCTGACCAATAACGTGCATTATGCCGGTTGAATATACCTTCGCTGCTTATAAAAGCCTCGTCGATACAAATAACATTTAAAAAAAAAAAATTGGGGTCTACATGATTTTGCTGCAAAAACCATTGGCAGAAAATGACGCGTCTCTCTTCATCTCCTGGATGCAAATGGTGGACTTTTCTTATAGTATATGGTCGAAACTTGTGGTTTTTTAAAATTCTCAATGCTTTGAATTTACTAATTCCTATCGTCCTTTGAATTTCTCTGCTGGATACATTGGGATTTGCGACAACAAAAGCTAAAGTATTGATTTCATCATTTTCTCTATTCTGTAGATATATTATAAGATTTAACTCTCGGTTTTTGAAAAGAACCAAACTCACACAAGTTATCATAGAGTCGGCTAAAAATTCTCTTTTCTGGCTGATGACGCTCTGGGTATCTATCCAAATATAAGTTTAAAAGCTGTGTCACTATTTTTTTCACTTTCAGTGTAACACTCCAACATTTGAACTTTGTGAAGATTTTCGTACACCATTTTTATACCTTTCAAAATTAAAACCAAGTAATAGACGTTTAACAAGCTTTTAATCAGTCAAAAATAAACTAACTGTCAATATTAAACAACAAAAGACCAATAAATAAATAACATGGCCAACTGAAAAAATATCTATACATTTTTGCATTTTTCTTCATTTAGGCAAATAAAAAGTATCTATTATTATATATGGCTGAAAAGGTAAAAATAAATGCTATTCAACAGGGTGGCCAAATACAGGGTGTTCTATTTAAAAAAACCCATGTTTATGTAATATCGGAAAAACTGTGCGATTTGGAAAAAATCTGAGTACGCCATTGGCTTCCTCATAAAAAATAGAACAAATAATGTCCTGACTTTTTTCTTCTAAACTGAATGACAACGGAGATAGAGAGGTTAATGTAAATGGGCCATTTTTCAAAAAAACCCTGTATATCTAAAATTAATCAAGTTAGCCAAGACCTTTTGTTACCAGCGAAGTAAACTCAAAAAAAGAGGACGGGACATCGATATCAGATTTTCTGTATCTATCACCGTTCTGGCTGTACCCTATAAAACTATCGAAAATCAACCACCCTGTACATCAATCAAGGCACAATTCACATTTGTTCCTACAAAAAATACATGCATCCATCTTAAAAATATTAATGAATGATTTCAGAAAAAGAAAGGCGTGATATTCTTCTGAAATCCCGTATGTGTCATATTAGTTCACTCTATTTATATTTCTTTGACATCTGAAAATATCATCCTGAAAATGAAACGGTTGAAAAAAAGTATTTAATACAATGTTGATGTTTACAACATACAGTGTGTTCAAATTTTAAATGATTTTGAAATTTATTTTTACAATTTTTTGAAATACAAAACGTTTCTAGCTACATAGTCGTACAGAAAAATCGAGACATGATCTAATCAATGGATTAACAATACATTTTCATAATTTTTTGAAGAACAAAATATTTTTCCATGTACAAGGTGTCTCAAACTCGATAGTATGGGCCTACTAAAAATTTAATTAAAATTCAATCGAAAGTATTTATTATATGTGGGATTTGACAGAAACGACCAATGACGTCATCAATTATATATTTTTTCCAGGGACACACCCAAATTTTTGTCCTGTTAAAAAGTTCTGTTTTTTCTAATAAACTTTTATTAGAGAAATTTTTCTGTATTACTTCCCGTTTAAAAGTTATAGGCAATATCGTCCTAAAAAGTCTCAAAAGAAATACCACCTAAAAATCACATTGACGGTGGAAGGGTCAAGTAGTCGTTGGAAAATAATTGAATGTTCGTTGTTTAAAGTGCATATATGTCACAAAATACTTGTCATTACTCAATACGTGTATTTAAAAAATGTTTTCTCATTCAGAAAAGGTGATATGTAGCTAATTTACGGCGAATCACAAAAATGATTCAAGAAGAGCTGTTATATCGAGAAAGGTATCCAGAGCGCCTCATTCCTGATCATAGAACCTTTACAAGATTGGAGACGACCTTGCGACGAAATGAAGGTGCATTTTCTGTTCAGAAAAATCAAATAATTGACCAAAGGGTAAGAAGCAATGTTAATACAGCTAGACTGTTACAGTACTTCGAACAAAATCCACGAAATTCTATACGGCAGGCTAGTCGGGAATTGAATTTGGATAAATCAGCCGTTCTACGAATTTTAAAGACTAATGCGTATCATGACTACAACATTCACAATTTGGAGTATTTGCCTGAGCGTCACATTGAAACAGACTTAATTTTGTAGCTCAAATTGTAGTAAATATAGAAACTGTTGATAAGAACCTTTTTCGGCACGTTCTTTGGACGGACGAATGTCGGTTTGTCAGTAATGGTTTGCCAAACAGGCGCAACGAACACTACTGGTGCATTGAAAATCCCCACATTGTAAATCCAGTCCAAAACTAAGGCCATTTTGGAGTAAATGTATGGTGCGGCACCATCGATAGGCATTCAATTGGACCTTATTTTTATGAACATATGTACATTGAACAACGTGAGTTACCTAAATTTCCTACAAGAACATCCTGCACCTCTGGAGAATGTGCCTTTACAGCTAAGAAAAACCCATGGCCACAAGGCCAGGATAATGCAGCAATATTCAGTGGCCCGGAAAGTCAACAGATCTAACACCCCTCGATTTTTTTATGGGGGGTTTTAAAAAATAAGATTGCAAAACACCTAAACGGCGAAATGTTAATAAACGCATCCCACAAAGAAGTCAGGCGAAGTTTGGATATGTGTCTTGAAATGAGAGGTCATTTTTTAAGTATAGTTATTGTTATCATCACCTTTTGTTTTAACTGTATTAAAGCATTAAATACCTCAGTTTATCTTCGTTCAACCGTCATCACTTTCTAACTCATTGCATTTCCCATAAGAAAATAAGAGGCAAATTTAAAATTGACACTTATCTTGTACCACGCTCCTTTTAACATAAAATAATAAATTTAATCAGTTATGATTATGATTAATTAACAGGTGTTTTGTATCTAAAATATACAAACTGAACCTTTACATTGGAATTTGGAAATAAAAGGATGAAATGTGAAATTGTCTTGAATACACATCACGATCGGTCACCATTTTTGACGTTTGGTTCCATAATTAACCTAAAATTTGTGTTAATTTTATTACAGATATCTATCAATACCCATAAACTCTTAATAAAATGAAGAGGGGAAGTGAATATATAAACAATTTAGATCTATCTTAATATTCTCTTGGCTCCAAAATAAAAACTTGTATACAGTTTATATGATGTTACTATATCTGCTTTTGTCTTTAGTTAAATTTCAAATAACTTACCAAAGTACTTTATAATAGACTGCAACATAATTTATTTTTGTACTTACCAACTACAGTTTTACAGTTGATGTTCCGAATTAAAAAATTCCTAAGTTTTTACAAGT